CTCTAGTGTCAGCGAGCTAATATCTCTCGCTTATTGCTTCATCGCCGCTGCTACTACACACATGCGTGGAGCCTTGGCGGTTGGGCGCCGTGACACCCTGCAGGTTGTAGAGACACCGATTCGTCACAATACATTTCACGAAGAACTCCTGAAAAATCCGTACGACACTATAGTTTGCCGTGACACGTCAATGAAACGTAAGGAGTGACCAGGCATGCTCCGATACAACTTGATACACCACAGTGATTCTGATGTGGGATGCGCATTCTCTGGCTGGAAATCAAGTCTCTACTGTAATCAGCTTTATCAAAACGAGAAAAGGAACGGTACACTCATGCCCAGCCTCTATATAAGTTACAAACCAGTATACAACATGCTGAGCTACTGGTTGTAAGATTTATCGAGATCTTGCGTAAGTTTATCACATTGATTTCGCTCAGCAGTAAAACTAGTAGTACCTCCCACTAGAATTCATCCTCATCTTAAACAGCAATAGAAATATCTGGTCGGTAAAGAGCCAGCGGCTACTATGAATAAGAGACAGATGAATTCGGCACACGTCCGTTACTCTCCTCTCTCCCGACTCTCTTCTCCTCTTTCTCTCTTTCGTTCTCAGATACATATACTCGCCTCTCTCCTCTCTCTCTCTCTCTCTCTCTCTCTTCTCTCTCTCTCTCTCTACGTCTTCCTCTCTTACGCCTGCTGCTATTACCCCTCTCGCGCTATATACATTACATCTGTTCGCTCTCTCTCTTTCTCTCGCTCTCTCGTGCTCTCTCTCTCTCTCTCTCGATCACCCGCTTTCACTCTCTCTCTCTCTCTCTCTCTCTCTCTCTCTCTCTCTCTCTCTACTGGAATCGACCTCCTTTTCTTGCTGTGGCGCTATTTACCTCCATTGGGACCTCTTTTTCCCTCAGCGCTACCTCTCTGTCTAGTCTATCTTCTCCTCTCGCTACTTTTGCTGCCGCTTGTAGGGTACTAGCGTTCTGTGCTATTAGTTTCCTTCTAATCGCCTTCTTAGCCAACCCATCTATAAATGATTTTACTAACGTTCGCTGCATCCCGGGTGCGTGTCCTATATCTCCTGGGTAAGCCGTACTATATACCCTGGCGATGCGTTCCTCGAACTCCTGGATCGTCTCGTCCCGCCTCTGCATGATTCTTTTCAAATCTTGTCTCGCGGCTAGCCGTTCGAACTGATCCCAGAATCTCTCCCTCATCAGTTCTATTAGCTCCTCGCCACCTATCGCCGCATTCTCCCTTGTTTGCCGGATGCAGAAATCGTATGCCGACCTTGCTGTAGTCATTAGGAGTACCTCCTTTAGGTCCGCATTCGCCCCCATCCAAGCGCCTATCCCCTCTAACTGCTTCTCATATTCTCTAAATTTCATGCTATCTACCTTGGCATCCCCCGTAAATTTCCGTATTTCCCGTCGTATCCCCTGTAGTTTCATCTCATCTCTTATCTCCCTTACCACCGGACTAAGCGCTTGTCCCATAATCTGAACAATATCCCCCATATTTATCCCTTGCGCCATCGTATGCCCTAGCTCTAGCGTCCCCCAAAATAGCTTACCTCAAATCCCTTACTATCTGTTACCTGGCCCTGCGATTTCTGAAACGGAATGTGCATTAACAGCTGGAAAATAATCGGATTAGATCACTCATGCGTTCATGCGAAATTTTATATCCTGGTCGCACGGCACCATTTTATGTCACCGCGTGCTTCTTTAATTAAGCCCACGCGTGACGGCGTGATCATATTTATGTTTTAATACCTTGCGAAGGAATAAACCTGGCTCGAGGATATAAAATACAGTTATGTGATAAACAACGCTACGCAAAGTCTTATATAATACACACATGAATCATATTTATTAATCACTCTCCTCCAAGCACCGCACGATACAATCTCAACACCCTATTGGTTATAAAGTCGTCATTTATATAAACTACCTGACGCCAGCTACCAGCGTCGTGTCTACCTTCGTTGATATTACCACTAGCTTAATCTGTGTTGCATCCAGACAACGGACATATAACCGCGGTACGAGTAACCTCTTCACTCCGCGACACATATATCCATACCGCGTTAACGCGTATCCCTTCACCGCATCACTGTAACGCCGTACTCACTCTTACGCGCAATCACAATGATCTAAACTATGCATACAATCTAACTATCATACAAAGAAGTAACCATATTTACGTGAACGCCATCTGGTCGGAGGAGTCTTGTTCAGCTTCGTCTCGGCTGGTCCCAGCACACTCTATATCTTACTCTGTTAAATGCGGCTTATTTATCTTACCCCGTGTCCACGCGCGACCTCTGCTTTTGGGTCAAAGGGCGTATCGGCCTTCTCCCACTTGCCTATTATTACCCTCCCTTTGTTTCGCTTCTACTAGGTCAGTCATGCCCTTGTCCTTTTGCTCTGGCTGCCCGGCGGTCTATTATGCAACTGTTGTCCGTTCCTGCCCGTACCGTCCTTGGTTACACACGCACACATGCACACACATGTACCTGCACACGCACGCACGCACGCACGCACGCACGCACGCAAAAACGTGTACCTGCACACGCGCGCACACACGGACGCACGCATACACGCACGTGTAAGTTCACACGCACGCACGCACGTGTACGTGCACACAAACGTACGAACGTGTACGTGCACACGCACGCACGCACGTGTAAGTTCACACGCAGCACGCACGTGTACGTGCACTACATAAACAGCGCTTTCTATCAGAACATGTGGTCATTCATCTGTAAATGTCAAGCAGCACGCTTCGCTTCTGCCAACCATGACACATAACAAATACACGTGACCTCATCTATGACGTCACGTGAAACACTCCTATACTTACGCAGATAAGGTCTATGTCCCCTTGACCTCTGTTTCACCTGGCTCGTTGAGCTATTTCTGACTAATATATAATATATCGTTAGGGTTAGTCAGAAATAGCTAAACGAGCCAGGTCAAACATAGACCCTACGAGCATTGCTTGTGTTGTGACGTATGTAACTATGTGATATTTGAAAGCGTTAATAAATTCCAAAATCTAATCTAATATACTTAAGATAAACTAAACATTCAAAAAGGACCAACAAAATAGTGACCATAACCTAATGATCAAACAAGCTGATCATAATTTCACCATTGTCAATCTCAGATTCTGTACCTTCTGTAACAACACTTCAATAGATCATGTGTATTATTTAAAAGTCACGCACCCAGTGTAGGATGCATGATTCGGTGATGTTTGTAAAACGTCTCAACTCGGCTGCCACACTCGATACCCTGTCCCCGACCCATGCAGTATTTCCTGTTTAAAATCGTTTAACATCTGTTACTGTTGACTCTTGGTTGTTCGCCGCAAATGCCCTACCATAACCTAGCTACTATGTATTACTAGCTAAATTGTCTGGCTCTCATGAAATGACACCCATCTGCTAGTTATTCATGCAATACTGCCTGAGCCTTCCTATTGCATTTGGCTTTCTCTTGCAGAAGTTCTCGTGTTTCAAACTTGAAATAATAATGCAGACGGTATCTCAGGTATATGTATCAGCTTTACGATAACAGTGTTTTAATTCAGAACAAACATTTTTTCCAGCTAAAACAACCTCTTTCCCCGACATCGCCGAGTATGACGAATAGCTCTTGAAGCTCTGTTTGGGAGTTGGCCCAACTTGCAAGGAACCGCGGCCAGCCATCGGATACGTTCCCGGAGGCGGCCTGCCACCTTCGCCACCTCCCGTCATATTCGCATTTGCAGACGATGACACAAAATGTGACTCATGGGATGATTACTATTAACAGCTCGAGGTGTTTGAGTATCTCCATCCGGGATGCAATATCGTTAACGATAATGTTGTAAACAAACAAAAAAAGAAAAGAAAAACGCTTTCTTATTTCCTATCCCATTTTGCTTCTAACAATGTGCACAAACGTTTTCTTTTCAATTACCTATTAGTAATTTTTATTGTGACGTAGCATTACATTTCGCCCAAGCATTCCCTTGTATTAATTAATCACATTGTACGCGAGTTGTAGTAGTTAGTATGACGGTGGAGATTCAAAAGTTATACATATATTTTCAATGAGCTTGTATTATAAAATATAAATATATATATATATATATATGAGTATGAAATATGGAATGTGAAATGAGTATATAAACATGAAATGAATACGTTCGCTGTTGATACTAATGACCACATTGGAGGACAACCACAGATTCCCACACTTCACGAGCGATCATCCATCCATAGGAATATGCCGCAGACGACAGCACATCCTACATCACTCCTGTCAACGCGCGAGTCAGTTGTGTCACTTCTGCTGCTACCTAGCTGCTCCTGGGCACTACACTGTTGTAAGATATGCATTGCTTGTACCTGGTGTTTGCTTGAGTTGATAGCTATGCAGTGTTGTGTAGTCTCTGGTTATTGTATTGTGTGGCTACAACGTTCCATTTGGCTTCAGGGCTTTGCACACGTATCTGACTGTACACGAACCCGTAATAGCTTATACGATCACGTGCCTATATACGATGCTACATGCGTTATACTTGGCATACACGCCATTATAATTGATGACGTAAACATCTTCTATATATTGTTCCCATAATCAATGTATAATAAAGCATTTCTCAGAAACTAGTTGTCAAAATGAAGTTTTGTCATTTCGATAGTGTAACGTTCCCCCTTTCTCACATTGCCATTTTCCCTTGCGTGATCCCCCTTGTGAGGTGTCGCGTCAACTCCTCCGGCTATTACCACTGGTCTAAGATTCGATCGCTGGATTGTGAACTCGACTGATTCGTCGCATGATGTGGTGTGAACGAGGAAGACAGACAAATCAAATTCAACCAATGTGTTTAATCATCAAATAACATGAAACTTAATACACTTACGGATACGCGCAGATCGGTCTCATGAGATATGTAGATTCGTAACACAATAAGAACGTAGGACACAGTATAGGAGCCGGCTTAAGGCACGGTAGGAATGAGTAACACCATGAACAGAAAGCCAAGATGGTGAAAAACCGCGAAAGCTCTCTTATATCCGAGTACACCCAGTTACTCCTGATTGGTCACTGGGTGGATTTACATTGCATTATTCCGTGATTGGTTAGAACAAAGCCCAATTTGCCGTTCTGATTACAGGCTGTACATAAACAAAGCAGTGGCATGACAATTTCCCGCATACAGTTTCGCGCCTGAAGAATACCCTAGGTCCAGAGTGGCATGCGCCTTAACCTGCAACATAGGCTGGTTCGCCACAATAGTTCTAAAAACCTTAAGAAGATTAAATAATTAATCTTGTAAAGGAAATTATGTCTATCAGCACCATAGAAAGTGTAACATGATGTCTAGAACTGTTTGACTACCTGCCTGGTAACAAGGAAGGCAATTAGAATCCTTGTGCCTATTGCACTTGTTTAATTATAATTTATATCATGGTTTTTCAAATAAGCTTCGCTTGAATAGGAAAGGCAGCCTAACACTAACAGCTGTTCTGTGTTGACAAACAACTCGCCAGTCACATAGTAATAAAAACAGTATACAAGTATACATATAGTTATATAGTATATACATATAGTTATATAGTATATACACGATTATGCTTGTACATGGTGCGTTAATATGTAGAAATAAGCTTCCCTTGCATAGAAAAGGCAGATATACATCTGTAATGTTCAGCTGTTCTGTGTTGACAAACAACTCGCCAGTGACATAATACTAATAGTAATAAAAACAGTATATACGTATATTTTATATCTCTTGTGTAATAATATTGATCTAAATAACCTTTTTGGGTCTTTCGGGAACCTAAAAAACTTAGTCCGTGTATTTATGGCGACCGAATATTGCAATTAAAAGCAGAGTAATCCACATGGTTTCCTAACAATCTCCATTGCAGCATCCAACGACAGACGACGGCCACTACGTGGCGCTAGCATTCAATTCAAAAATGGCTGACCAATGGGAATAGTCGAAGTGACCGTGCTCGGTGATTTATATGCTCTGTCCTAACCCTAATCCTAACACTAGTGCTGCCACGTTGCGGGACCGTCCTTCCACGCCCGGGGGATAGCAACACCCCCAAACATCAACCGTGACAAAGGGGGATACAAGCTCAGTCACGTGTTACCTGCATAATACCAGTCGCCATGTTACGCTTGACTGCGTTCGCTACACTGACGCCTGTAAGCGAAGGCAGCCTGAAACAGTTCGCAAACCTCGTTATCGAATAAACGCAGAACGAGGCTAAGCAGGGCTAGACTGGTACCCGTTCGCCACCTTTACTCCGGAAAGTATCCTTCGCTACACTGACGAAGTTAGTGTAGCGTGCGAAATGTCGACCGGGTACCAGTCTAAAGCAGGCCGCAAATCCGCCCCAAGCATATATTTATTATGGTGGTAATCTAGTTAATGGCTTTATCAGAAGCATGCACTTTTTACAGTTATAAATTATATTATTATAACTATTACAAAACTAATATAAACTATTATAAACTATTATAAATATAGTTATTGCAGTTGAAATGTAGACGGAAATGACGTCGAGCAAACTAGGACTGCTCGCTGATTGGCCGTTCTGATTCTGGCAGCAGCCACCCACTTTCGTATATAGGTGTTAAACAACAGTAGAGGGCCTCCATAGGCTGCAGGCCTGAATAAGCATCGAACAGAAATTTATTAAAAATACTCACACTGTTACTACACTTACAAAACATACACTTTATTCATGTTAAATAACTACAGATTCATGCTCTATGCTCCGCTCAAAACTTTTGCCAGCTCTATGATGCGAATTTCTGCAAAGTTGTCTGAACACATTTCATACGAGAACAGACCACTATTAAATTCTCCATAAGATCCTATACTTAAGAATTGAATTTCAGGAGCTGAAAAATAGTATTTCGGCCGAGTGGCAATATTAAAGCTAGGTAGCCATGTACTTCAGCTATGCACCATTAGAGTTATGACAGTTGTCCGGCGTTTTGAAAAAAATATCGCGAATTTACTAATCGACACCACGTACATTTGTGCCTGAAAAACAGTCGCGCAGTCGAATGGGGGCCATACATTGAAAGGATTCGTTTTATATTACCGGTAACCATCCACCCATCTCCATGTGCATGTCATTGACACATGCACGATAGCCAGCCTAAGCCAGCCTAAATAATGCAATCACAAAACGTCGCGTCAGCTTTAGTGCACGAGCTGCAGGCCCTCTCCGATTGGTCGGCCGATGACGGCGCGTCACATCCTTTAACCTAACCTAACAGGGTAATGAACCGGTA